GCACATCATCGGATTCAGAAATATCAATAAGTGATTAAAAATCAAAAAACAAAACAAAAAAGCATACTCATGACACAACACATGACAACGCTGACAACTGCAAATGAAAAATCAAGCGGACGATACAAACAACAACGAAGATAGGTCCTCAGGAAAAAGCTGCTCAAAATCTCAGAAGTACCTGAAACCGATGAAACATACGGCTGCTTTGCCAACTTATCAAAAATGCCACTTACAAAAACGGAAGAACTTTTTCTTCAAAAAGGACTGAATTACAACACAAGAGATGCTAAGAAACCGTAATTCTTTGCGGCATTAGAGTCGTTACTTAAAACATCAGGATTAAATGAGGTGGTCACTCAACAAGAAATACGGCAAACAATCGTACCACTGACCAGGCTAGTGAAACATCACGCTCAAATGAACACTCAAGAACAGAAAACATTAAAAGGGCTGAAAAATAGGAAACTTCGATGTCACAGCACTATACACATCCATCGAACCTCAGTTGGTCAAGGAAACTATGTCCCTTCTGCTTAATGAATACACAAGCCTTACAGAACGCACAAAACTCAGATGTTCAAGTCTGATGGAACTCATCAACCTTTGTATGACAACATACTTCCAATTCAACGGCAAGATATACAAACAGATGAAAGGAACTCCATTGGGATCACCAATATCCGGATTAACTGCAGAAGCAGTGATGTAGAGACTGTGATCAAAGCAAAAGTTTGGATTCGCTATGTGGACGACACTTTTGTCATCATTAAAAAGATAATATGGAAAACACCCACAATTTGATCAACAACGTTTTCAGTGACATCAAATTCACAATGCAGAAGGAGTCAAACAACCAACTACCATTCCTGGATGTTCTGTTCAATAGAATAAATACGAGGAAGCTGGCAACCTAAGTGTGCAGGAAGCCAACACACACTGACCAAGTCCTCAACTACAAAGTCGTCGACAGAAATCAATAAACGCATCATCCTACCATACGTAAAGAATATATAAGAAATCACAACAAGATTACTGAAACTACTTGGAATTGGTGTGGCTCACAAACCAACAAATTCCCTGCAACCACTATTATGCAGACCAAAGGATGCAACAACCAAAGAAGACAAACCGAATATTATTAACAAAATCAACTGCAATAACTGTAGTCAACACTACATTGGACAAAGTGGTCGCCCTCTTCGCCCTCATCTACATGAGCACCAATTGGCTATTGAACGTCACGACATTTCATCACTCATTTCAATGCACATGGATAATTATGGACATGAATTCAATTTCGACAATGTAGAAATTTTGGAGGGAGAGATGAAGCACAAAAACTATCAGAGAATTCCTAGAAGCTTGGCATTCAGGTCAATCAGCAATCAACAGATGTGTAGACATAGACCCAATCTATCAACCAATAAGAAAGATGATAAACGACAGAAAGGTCAGAGGTCAAGCAGAGGGTCAGCCAATAGGAAAATCTATACAGTTAATGACATAACAATCAAAGGAAACAACCAATCATAGACCACTTCGTCAAGGCAAGCCACTAAATCACTGACGGAGAGATATTGACAGCTCACTTCATACTGAAGTTGTTGCTGATGATGTCATCTAGAAGGATGATGAAAGCTTCACGATTGAGCAACCCATCTCAGAGAACACAATACAACCAAGAATCTTATACTTGCTTCATTCCTGCTAGAATGTTATCAGGCACCTTACGAGGGTAGAATTTTCATAGGCTTCTATGCAGTAATAAACATCGAAAGACTTATATATATATATATATATATATATATATATATATATATATATATATATGTAGACTGAGCTTTGGGTAATAATGCGATGCGTTTCTTCCGCATGAAAAATTAACTACCATAACTATTGAATAGCTGATATAAGAGATTAATTGAATCGTAGAGTCATAATCTGATGTATTAGAGTTTTATTAGATCTACATTTCATAACTGGTGTAACTTATCGTCATCTTGTGTTGATGTGAAAATATTTTAATAACCAACTTTTAAGACGTAATACTTTTGATTATTTTGAAAAGTCCCGTACTGGACATTTAGAAAATAAACAGTATAAAGGGGAAATACTTCTTTTCAATCAGCTCCCCATTGGTATCCCTACAGTACTGTACAGCATTTTCAAAACCTATAGAAAATTTTGTCGGTGAATCGCCAAACATCATTCATCAGAGTTAGACAAAATAGATGTTTGGCTCAATACCCTGTCATGTGGTTGTAACTGGTCATCGAGTTAGTATTCACAACTCCTTTAAAGTTATTCATTGAATTCCTTGTTATCCCGCCCATGCTGTACGAGTTCGTCTCTTTCGCACAGCAAAAGCCATTGGAATCCGCCAGAAAAAGCCTAGTTTTTGTATTCAGAAGTAGTTTGTGCAGACTACTTTCTTTTTCTTGACCATCTGTATGCTCTATATATTATAAAAGACCCTTCTTTCCATTCACCTTTCAAGTGATTAATACCACTATAATAACCATCGTATTACTTCCATTATTATTATCATCACTATTATCATTAATTGCAGATTTAACCGCCTTGTTTTTCCCCCCTGTTGTTTGCAATTACCGTCAACACTTGACTACTTGACGTAAAAATACATTTTTCGCTTAACTTCGTGTTAGTAAGTACTATACGAACTATCAATTATACGAAAACCTGTTTAAAACTTCACAAAGTTTACTATGCAGTTAGTCCATACTTCAGTTACTGTTCTAATTGCTTTCATAAATTATTACCCTGTTGAGACTTTGAGATTAATAATCTGTTATGAAACAACTATCACCACCAGACTAATATGTCGTTATTTTTGAATGACCAAAATCGTCTTGTACAGTGACAGTTAAGAGTAAACTGTGTTATTTTGTTATGATACTTGTGATTTTCCGTTGCTATACAGGGTCACACTGCCCTACTTCTACCAGCAGATAGGCTCCTATGCAGATGCCTATGTACTACTGATCATTCACGATCTTATATTGATCTTGGTGACTAGCTTAGGGATCCAGGAGGCGCTTTTCTTCCTATTTGGGACTCGTCAGCTGGATGCACCTGCACCCCAATGAGTGATATTGTTCCCACGGAGGCTCGAACCCAGTTCTCTTCGTTTCAAACGCCGGAGCATTATTCACTGTTATCCTCCAGTGTCTTGGTGGATAACGCTTTGACGTTTGAAGTGAGAGGTGCTGGATTCGAGCTCCAGTAGGAACAACATCCCTGAATGGAGTGCAGGTAAATCCAGCCAACGAGTCTCAAATAGGACGAGACGCGCATCCTAGATTCCTCTGCAAGTCAACAAGATTAATATGACTGTGTTATTTTCTTCATCTATATATTTCGCAACCTACGCCAACATTCCTTACTGATGATCTACTTTCATCTCATTCAACTACATTGTCGTAAAAAATCTATGGACGGTGAAATAGAATTGTTATAATCCACTATGAATCTTCCAGTAGGTGCTATGATTATTCAGATACCATCGAAGGCAACCGATGTGAGTTATAGGGCCATATCGTAGTGATGAGAACGTAGCATAGTGATTTTACCTGTTTACAACCCGGAATGACCAGTAGTATATCTGGATGTCTACAGATTAGAGAGCTGAAATATTCCTATCTTTTGTATCTTCTTGTTTAGTTTGATTGGTTCCATTCATCCCAAACTACTCATATGTGGTTCAGAAATGGTTTACTCTTAATGTTCGTGATTTGCTTCCCGATGGTTTAAAGTCTTTTACTGTCATCAATTTTCAATCATTCTGGCAGTCGTATTTCAGTATTCTGCTTGGAATTAGGACGAAAAAGGTATTTGATTGAATTTAACACTCATTTGGTTGCTTGAAAGCTAAAGCTGATTAACCAGTGTAGCGGCAACAATTTTCACTCTCTCTAGTTAAACCCTTAGGGTAACAGTAGTTTGTCGATGGGTAGTGCACCGTATTAACTATGCAAAATTACCCATCCTCTTTGAGTATTATTTCATGTGCTGAACTTTGACTGGAACATCCTACCCTGATAGTGATGTAAAGGCTTTCAATAAACTGCAACTGTCCATTCAGAAATGATGTACCATGTTAGAGAAACCTGGATTAGGTTGGAAAAGAGTTCAGGGTGACCAGATCGAGACGTGACACCATTCGACAAAGTCGATAACTGTTTGTCTGAGTCATGTGGACCGATATAGACAGTCTGACTAGCTCCGTAAGACAGAAGGAATCAGTGGTTGAGGACCCTTGGGGAAATGGCTGAAAATTGGTCAAAATGGTGCAGATGTATTCACACTTTGACGTATTGTAAAGCCTGAATGTTCACACAAACCGTTATCATCAGACTTTTTATTCTGCTACACAACTTTATCTACCTTGATATCACTCTTTTCCTATCCACCTATTTTTTTGTGCTATTGTGATATATGGCAACTTGGGTCCATGCACGTTGATTTTGTCTGTTTGTCTTCTTTTTTGCGGTGGAAATTTTGTCTGACGGAAGCAGTGACAACCTTCTTAGCTTAGCTTTTGTAGTTTGAGAACTAGAACTCAATAAATATGTTTTACCCGCTTTGTTAGGAGTGATATACACATGCTGAATTAGGCATTATTTTCATCAAAATTTATTTGATGTAATTTCTAATTATTATCATTTAGGGTTGGCTATTTTCAGTTAAAAGCTACTTCAAATCGAAGGTCAAATTGATCGTCAGTTATTCAGATGATGAGGTTGATAGTCCACATTGTTTATGCCATTGTAGTTGACATGTTCACACTAAGACTACTGAGTTCATGGACACTGCAAGACATCACTGACCATCAACATGATAAACTTGTTCTGATGTATCGAATTAAATTCGAATAAAAATAGAGAATAAATGTTACCATGTCAGATATCTGAGATTATTTTCAGTTCAACTTAAGAATGAAGCTTTTTCAGTACTTATATCGTTGTGTTTTATTTTAGACGGTTGACCCTTCCACCTGCTTAACCAATATATACAATAACATACAACCAGAGCTAGACATTTGGTCAAATCTTTTCAATACCTCAGAGATTGTTGTTGATACAGCCAGAGAGATATCCGCTCAGTTGAATTTTTTAAGTTCATTAGAAGGAAGTGAACGTGAAGAAGCAGGAGGGGATGGAAAAGAAAGAGAAAGGGAGATAATAACACATCGAATTTCACACAAAGATGATGACAACAGAACAGAAATGTTAACAGATCAGATGTTGGCAACAGTAGCAACAACAACAACTGTGACGTCAGTAACAACACCAGAAAGTAGTCATCAACACATTTCGTGCAATGAAGACGTACGTTTTATAAGGTTATTAATTGTCTCATTACAAATTTTAAAATTGTTATAACTTATTGTTTAATTTTAGTGTGATATCACGTTCATGAAAAGTGGATCTTTATATAATCTAGAAGTGACCAATCAGGTTTGTACAGCGTAAATCTTTAACCACTTGTATGAACTTTAAGCTTTGAAGTCTATCTTTCTGTTTACTACTGTTCCAAGAATTTGAATGGAGGTGAAGTGATCGTTAATGTCATGTGTAACAGTAGTAGATTACAATGGCTAATAAGATATAATAATTGCCTTGCTTCTAAGCCTGAACAAAGTGCTTTGCATTACTTTGGGGTTTTATTCGAGTGTTTTGACACTAAGCTGCCACAAAGCACACAAAAGATGTGCATATATTCTCTAGTATAATATAGGTATGAATTACAGGCACCAGACATTTAAAGGTGTTGATATGTTAGTCACCTTTCCGTTATGGTACCGCAGTCAAAAAGCCATACAGAGAAGAATCACTAAAAAATAGGTAGTGTATACGCATAATTAACTGTTAAATTGATGAACTACAAGCAACTGGAATCATCATATAGTAAGTTAAGCCTGGCTTTGGCTCACTTAATTCCTTTTACTTTGACTGTTTAAATGGTAAATGGCGATAAATTAGACCACGTTGTTCATTATTATTATTATTATTTCTTTCTTGGGTTCCTAATGGAACATAGGGCTTCACTAGCACGTCTCCAGTGCACTCTGTTCTCTGCAAACTTTTGAACATGGCTCCACGACTGCTCAAAAGTTCTCATTTCTTCCTCACACGATCTCCTCCATATCACCCTCAGCTCAGACGCCCAACTCAGCTTTTCCCATCTGGGTTCCACTCGACGACCTGGACTGGCATGTGATGTCCTCAGTTGGCCTTCTCAGTGTATGCCCAATCCATCTCCACTTCCCTCTGCATTTTGTTAAGTGATAGGTACTTGGTTGGTTCGTTATCAGGCCAGAATTCCTCTTTCCTTATTCTTTCTGCCCATCTGATCTTCAGTAACGAGCCAGAGCAGGCAGTTGTTGAGGAATATGTGTAGTTTGTTGGAAATCCCTTTCGTGACGCGCCAAGTTTCTGAACCATATAGTAGCACTGACTCGACTGAATTGGTGTTGAAAATCCACATCTTTTTCCACATACCGAGTGCAGAAGATCTCCACACTGGTTTCAGGCTAATGAACGCCTATCTTGCTGTCTTTCTGATCCTAGCTTTGACATCCTCATTTTTGCCATCACCTCCTGTAGTTGAGACAGTGCTGCCTATGTAGGTGAAAGAGGCTACTTCCTTTAGGTTTCTACCGCTGATGGTGATTGCAGCTTGTTGTAGTTGTTGGTGGTGTTGGTTGGGTATCATCATCACCTCTGTCATCTCTATATTCACTTGAAGTCCCGTCTTCGCTGCCCTGCCTACTCTGTCAACTTGTTAGTTTTCGCCTATAGATCTTCAAGTTTGTGTGAAATTAGAAATAAGTCATCGGCAAAATCCAAACCTCCTGGGTTATTTCCAGTGGTCAAACAGCGTATGCCCCTCTTCTCACAGCTACTCACTGTTTGTTGCATGATGCAGTCTACTGCAATCACGAAGATCATCGGTGATAGTAGACAGTCTTGTTTCACTCCGGTCTTCACTTCACTTCAGAGGCATCACTAAGCTTCCCATTGTGAATTACTTGGCATATGGCGTCTTCATATAGTTGTTGAATGAGGTTGATAAATGTTTGTGGTATTCCGTGGTGTTGAAGCAACTGTGAAATTACTTCTCGGCTGACGCTGTCAAAGACCTTTTCAAAGTCGATGAAGTTGAGGTAGAGAATTGACTGCCATTCTGTACTCTGTTCTATGATGATGCGTAGTGCAGCGTTGCAATTTGATCCGCACATGATTTGTACTTTCTGAATCCAGCCAGCCTGTTCTGGTCATAGTTTTGAATCCAGCGCATCCTTTAGTCGCTCCAGGATGATGCGGCCTAATATTTTGCTTGCTTCTAGTGGACAGGAGTGGAGCGTGATTCCTCGCCAGCTCTTGCAAACATACATGATAATAATACGTGCATAAATGTCATTGTTATTCACTATTAATTTTGAGGCCAAGGCTAAGATATGAATGTATGTGTACAAGACAACTAACACTCTCAAGATTGCTTTACTCAACCTAAAAGATAGAATATTTTTTAACTCCACACGGAATTGTCTACAGATTAAGTTGTGTCGATTGTGATACCTACAATATTGGGGGCTCATCCCGCCAAAGAACATGTAAGTTGCACAAAATGAAAGCCAAATAATACTGTAGAAGTAGAGAGTTTACAAATTAACTCAGGAATCGCTCTTCACATATTCTATCATAGTCACTAAATTGACATTAAAAATATTAAAATAATAAAAGAAAGACTGATCTCTGAGGTATTTCACGTTATGTTGAATATTAATTCAATGGTTAACAGAAAGAAAGGACTAACTGTCTAACTAACTTGAAAAGTATATCTCCGATATAACACGACACACACAACAGTCATAACAAAAGTACACATGCACAAAGAAACCGAATGAATTAAAAAGAAAACTTAGGCTAGGCTGGGTTTCGAACCAGCGATCACTGGGTTCCTGGTCAGGTCTGATAAATTATGGCTATCTCAGATAGGCAAAATGATAATGACATTTGTGCCCATTTTATTATCATGTATGAACAACATTATCTGATTTGTCACCACTGATTATTTAAACATTCTCTGAAGAAGAGATTTCCAAGAAGACACGAAAAGTCAGAAATTTATTTTTAACCCTAATGGGATTTTACAAATATATTTCACGTATAATTTTGTCTTATTTTATTTTCATTGGGGAGTACAAGTAACAAAATACTGAGTATATTTCAAATAGTATCTTGCGTACTTGCATGGCGGCTCACTTATAAATTTGTCGGTTTGCTGACATTGATCTGAGTTATGATGTTTCATTGCTACTAAGTAACCAGTAGTATCAGTGACGAGGGACTAAATTTATCGGCTTAAATGTTTTTACAACTTATCAATCTGTGGAAATTACCGATTTTAACCAACTTGTTTTATGGCTCTTCATTATTATCCACACTTTTTCGATTGTGTCTCAACCTGATATTCAGTAGTGTAGAAACGTAATACATTTATTTCCCTGCCTTTCTAATTATTAGGCGATACATTCAGTTAGCTAAGCCAATCTTATTGCGTACACCTTATCATGTGAAATGCTTTTTAGAAGTTTTGCTGTCCATGATTCAGGATATACCAAGGTGTTTACGTATTTTATTACTACTCAGTATATTCGTCTCTTGGTTTGTCTTTTTGGTTACGTCATCGGTATCAAAAGTGGACGTGACTGTAAAAAATATTCGAGATTTCGGTATCTGTGGTCACTAACCTACTGGATAAAGCTGTCACCCGATTCATAAAATTCACTGACTTTAGTTAGGATTGTAAATAGTAGTACACAACTACTTATTTGAAGTAGGATGCCCTTAGCTGAATGCTAGCTGACCTGAATCCAGTATGCAAAATGTGAGGAGATCATTAGTAGGCGGCTTGCACCTGACCATGTAGAAATGTGATGGCTTTCAATCGTAAGAAGCTTGAAACTGAAGCTCCATATCTCCCAGTTTAGTTAAGATTTTATATCTGAATAAGAATTATTATTTGAAATCATCATACCGTTTGAACCTTTTAGAACGAATAAAGGTTATATGACTCTGTGGTGAGCTTACTAATCCTTCCATCACTATGCAACATTGTTAGCCAAATAAGAAAGTTCCTACTGACAGTTTCTACCTTCGCCTTGTGGTGAGGCCTGTCTAAAGCAGTGACCGAATGAGATATGCTGACTGAAACGGTTGTGTTTTGTGATCTTACCACGTCAGAAAGGTCTACTAGTCAATGAAAATGCTATGATGGGGTTTTGAGGGTAAAGTCAAACAGCTGTCTGTACACCATGTTGCAGCAGTACAGATGACAAAAAGTCTTTGCTGATGCTGGCTTCCCTATGAAAGTTTGGAGTTAGAATACATTAGCTCCAAAAGTAGTACACTTTTCCCTGCTACACATGCTACCAGTGTCGGCCATACGGATTTTTTTCCTTCCAGCCAAAAGAAACGTAAAACTAAGTTTCAAAGTTCTCAGAAACCTGCGCTTGATCAATCAGGCAGTCAGGCAAAATTAATACGTTTCTCACTTCACTTACTCGTCGAAGACATCCTTTCTAATGTGTGGGCACACAAAAAGTATCAGCGGCCTTCATACTTCTAGCAGTATACATATAACGAAGTAGTAAAAAATTAAAGTCAGTAGATGATTGAGTAACGACGGCGCTGAGGTAGACTGTAGTTCTGTTTTATTTTGTTGATTAGGGTTTGTCATGCAGTGAAACATTGCCATTCAATGGATAATGTTTCAGACATAATTTAATGTTCGTATTCACACCAGGTGAATCAATCACTTTGAAACATGTCTTACGTTGCTCTAGTTCTCTTATTTGTGTCATAGCTATGAATTAGAAAAAGATTTAGTATCACAGCCAGAAAGCTTAGGCAAAATTCTCAATAAAGCTGGGACTAACTAGAGTAATACATGAGAACTTCCACACTTACCTAGACACAGCTTTGTAGAATGAAGGATCCTAATGATTTGACTAGGCAGAATAATTTAGTTTACCAAATATACCAATGAACATTCTGGGGGATCTATAAATAATCAGTCTGTTCAGTAGTAATATATTTCACTAGTTAATGACACTTTTGTGTCATTGATGGCACCTTATGATCTTGACTCTAGGTTGGTTTTCAACTAAAGCCCAATTGACACGAAAGTTAGGTAGTTGAAAAATTACTCAGCTCTAACAAATGTCAGTGTGGACCTTATGATTTGCAAACCAAACCTTATGGGATGAATGAGAGGTTAAACACATAAGTCAAAGTAGTCAACCAGGATTACTACTTTGACTGTTAGAGCCCAAGAACTTAATCAAGATGAGTATAATCCAATTTGATTACGAATTCGGAGAAAATTTGGGCAACAGCTATGCGTGAGACTAAACACAACGACACAACAGGGTGGGATAAAGGTTCTGTATTAAGAACTAAGGTAGGTGGTTGGGAGAGATTGATTACCAAATTTTTATTTGTCAAATCAATACCAGATACATACAATAGGGACGATTCTACACCTATGCTAGCTAGATACACGAAAGATCATAAAGAAGGAGAGAAAATTAGAACTATATGAATCATGCTGTGGAGTTACCTGATATGACCGCAGACAATGAGTTATGTCTGAAACATTATTCAGTAAATAATACTGTTTCACTATGTACAATTAAGTTTTCGTAGGCGTCAACTTGTCAATGTAGCATACCTGAAATTATTAAGAGGCGCATTTTCCCTATGTGTGTCACGATCATGAAGCCTATCTACCTATACAGTGTTCTTATATCTCACTACAAAAATTGATTATCTAACGTGGTGATTCAAGTATAGCCAAGAATTGAAGGAAATTAAAATGAAAGTTAATTTTATTGTTAAATGAGCTGATAAAATCTATTTTCACAAAAATAAACTATTGAAACAAAAAGAAAGTAAACTATTATACTTTCAAGTGACTCAAAATACAAAATTTAGTGAATATAATTGATTTACAACAAATTGTCATAGAGACTGTTTGACAATAATCATTCGTTAATCCTGAGTCGATTTAAACAAAGACTGTGTATGACCAGTATACATATTATTTTAAAATAACAACCACTAATAAGACTTTGTAAGCGTTTAAGGAAGAATAGGAAGTCAGTTAGTACGGTTGTGAACCATCATTGACTGACGAGGCTGAGATGTATGTTGCGTATGTCTAGTTACCATCTGCCTCATAGCATAATGTTGGCTGAAATACTTTCAGGCTGGAAAAAGGTTAGGGATGGTCAAACTAAAACATGGCATCACTGTATTAATTCCTTGACAGTTGGTTTGAGCTATGTTTAGAGATGTAGATTAGCTGGTTAGAATCCACGTGACAACAGGAACCAGTGGTTGGAGACTTTAGGTGAAATGGCTCAGAATCGATGTCATTGGCTCAGATGTATCCAGACTTTATCTCCATCCTAAACGGTATACCAAATTCAATATTTTCTTACTCTTCTGTTCTCTCTTTCATTGCTTTCTACTGCTTTTGACCGATTCTTCTTTATTTCTTTATCTTTCATCTCACTGATTTGTTTCACGTTGTGCTGATGTGTGGTATAGCAATGTGGATGGTTACTCAGTAATGCCTGGTCCTGTGTTGATAGCTACTGTTTTTTTAGAGAGCTTTTGTTTCATTTGTCACTCAGGAACTCGTAGAACAGTGTGATTAAGTCACTGCAAGAATCTGAGAGAGAGAGAGAGAGAAGTGAAAGAGAAAACCGTATGAAAGTGATTCTGGTGTCTGAAATAGGTTCCTGCTCGCTTATAGTCGGATTGACATACAATCAGCTATAGAGGTCCCCTCATAACTCACATGCCGGCTTCACGCCTTACATCAAACTAATTCAGATATAAGCACTGAGACACTGTTTCTTCAATGAGCTTCATTTTACTGGTGGAGACATCTTTCTTACTAATGAGTTCTTCAAATTAACTGGACGTGTTATCCTACTTATACAGATAATTGGTAAAACTGAGATTTCTGTGGAATAAAAATTGTACCAGACACATCTGAGATTGAGTCCCAGTTTTTCTTACCCAAAGTGCTGATAAATTGACAAATACACTTCTACAGATAAACCAGTGAAAGTCATTTCATTGTCATTCTCGAGATTATCGTAGACATTACAGTAAGTAAACAGATATTTCTGTCTTTAAACTTATCCAGGACATTTAAAGTAAGACCAATATGATGTACATTACCATGAAGGAAGTGTATGAATTCACAGTTGTAAATCATAGCTTTACATTACCACGTATGATGAAAATTTCATTTGAAGTTTTTCAAAAAAAATAATCAGGACTTTGGATCACTATTTTGACACTGATTGATGTATCAACAAATTTTTCTGCTTTCAACAGAATCACACAAAAGCATCTTTCCGGTTTGATATGAATTAGTTTTTAGCATGTAGGTGAATTTATAGAGGAAATGGGAAAATGGAAAATTATGCAACCACTATTTTTTTTCCTGGAATTAATTTACAATTTTTAAAATTTCCCTTTTTCGTTAATTGTGATAAATCAAATTGATGCACTATCTACTTTGTACTACGGTGGATACTTTGACTGTTTCAGTTTTTTAACCACATTTAGCACTAAGTGATTTCAAATAACCCTCAATCTTCTTCTCATCCTTACTATTATGTATACTTTGGTTAGCAAT